CCTCCCATATGGAGGTTTAGAAATATAAAGCATGATGAGGGGTTATATGTTTATTAGAATAATTTCATTCAAGTATGATGTTTTTTTTGGAGGGTTCATGTTAGTGGGGAAAAGCAAGAATGCAAGTGGTGAGGTCTATGCTATGCCAGTTGTCCATTTTGTCTATTTTATCCCCAGGGTCTATGTGATCCCCAGTGTTGGACTTGCAGGTCTTTTTTACAAGAAAAAATAGATCCCAGAAACACCCTGCAGGGCCTATGTGTATCTAAAAGAGAGTATGTTTCCTCAAAGAAGTTCTGTTGAGCCGTCCCCTGAAAAATGCTCCCTCGTCAATTGGGATGATCACCCCAAAGTTTGGAAAGCACACATCAAAAGCAGAAAGCACCCCAAGACACCACCCAGTGATACACTTACCCAGATGTCAAAAATCCGGGCTATTTTCTAAAATAAATAGTGAATAGCTTTATAACCGAATCGAATTTCACACTGGGTACGGCCCTCGATTTTAGCCGCCAGGTTTCCGCGCGGCATCTTGCACCATGCTGCGCGCGGCTTCCAAGATTTCCACCCGGAGCGCCTCCACCGCTGAGCATGCTTGATGGGTGCTCCTCATTTTTTTAGACATGCAAAGTGGTGCCTCAGTTTGTTACCTAGGTCCGTTTATCAATAGGCTTAACAAAGATTTCTGGTAGATATATGATATATCTAAATTAGTGTAACGATTAGAAACAAAGTTAAACAGGTCACCGCCTTATGAGATTTCGGGCCCCTATGAAGTTCTTTGCGGGCAGCGTTGGCTGGCGGTTTGTGCTACACCTGGCATTCTCCGATACTTTGCAGTTACCGAGCCACCCAAAAAAGGGCTTGCCTCCACAATCCGAAGGTGTGAGCTCAAATCGCTAAATGAAAGCTGCAGTCTGAGCGTGTTTCCTGACTTGTCACTGGCATTAAATGCTGCAACCTATAGCCTCAATTTGTATCATCTAGCACGGCGCACGTGTGGCGCACAAGACGAAACATGCAGGACATGTGATGTTGACGGTGGCATAGATTCAAAGCTGTTGGAACCTTTTACTGGACAGAACTGCGAGGCAAGAGCATTGTGAGTAACTTTTCCTTGTCTCAACAAGCACCATCACTATAGGGAACACTACACCCCACGGGCTGAAACCCAAGCAAGCATGAATTTCTTTTGAACTTCCCCCCAGTTTTGACGTGTCTGATTTTTGAAAACCGTGATCAAGCGGCTTGAAGCTATTTTCAAAAAAAGTACAGTGGATCGATTTTTTCTCAACTGAATGGAAAACAGTATTCAGTACGCATTTTCCAAGCAATCGTGCCGATTTCACGGCTCGAGTTTGGGGCGAGTATGAAATATAACCCCCATGTATAGCCCACAGGAATGCTTCGGGGCCGAGTCTCTACAAAATAGCCGGCAGTATATACTGGAATGGCCTCATTATCGGCGCATGTAAAATGGAGAACCAACATGTCCTGGCTTGGCTATAAAGTTACAAACCAACGTTCTGTAAAATGGCCTGGCCGCGTAAAAGCATAAAAGCCGGGATGTATTTCTGAGGGAATTTGTGAGCATGTCCCATTACTACAATGTGAAAGGAGCAACATCCAAGCAACAATACCGATGTGCAACCCCTGCACTATAATGTGCATTACCCAGCAAACAACGATCTTCATAATATCGATGGTTGCATTGACGTCGATGGAGGTATAAACAAAATCATCGTTGCTAGTGCCATTGGCCACGTTTTAAACTGCTAGGAGTCGGTGGGATGGGAATCAGAAAATATCAACAACATTCCAAAGTGGGCAACCGCGCAACCTCATGGGGACGCACCAATGGGGTCCCCTTATTTTTTCACAGCCAAAACGGGACGGTGCAAAGTGAAAAAAAGGTGGTCCAACATCTGTGTTCTTTTTCAGGGGTCTAACCAAGTCCGGCCACTTCATAGAGAGCCCAGCCGGAGCCTCGCACTTGCCTTTCTAAAAATGCTCTGGCCGCAAGTTCAACTGTGAAAAATGTTCTGAATTAATGATGCTCTGCAGCAACAGCTTTGAAAGAATATAACGAATGGATGTCATGAGTCTGATTGGATGCTTCTGCTTTTCTTGTCTTTGATTTTTGAACGCTATTTTCTGGATTTCTTTCGCTTTGGTTGAATGTTTCTGCTTTCTTTACTGTTTTTGTGTTGCATTGACTGCTTTGATTGTTTTGTTTTTTTTTAAATGCGTGGGAAGTGCTTTTGAACGTTTTTAACTTTTTCTATTCTAGAAACACATATTATATTTCGTTTGGGATGCTCATGAAGTGGGATGAATTTTGCGGAGTGTTTTGGAACGCGTTGCATCGGAAATGCCACAGCTATACCCTAGACTGGAGTAAAACTGGAGTCGAGTCGTGGCATTGCTCTCAGACGGCAATGGTATGGGGAGTTTTTCAGACAGCTATGCGACAGAATGAAAAGAAACGATTTTGAATGTTTCGGTATGGAAACATATCTTCGCCTGCCAGGTGAGGATCTCCAGATTTTACACCTCCTTCCGCCATTCCTTCCTTCCTTCTTCCTTGCTCCTTTGTCTCCTCCTTCTCCTCCTGGCTTGCTGCACTTGCTGCACTCGCTCCCATATCGCCAGCTCTGGATGCTGTGGAGTGGGCCTGGACCCGAACGCATGCCAGAAAGAATGCCAAAATGAATGCCTGAAAAGATGATAAATAGAAAGTCAGAATGTGCCAAATAGAATGCCAGAAAGAATATCAGAAGATATGCCAGAAAGTTTGTCAGAATAGAATAGATACCAGATAGAATGACAGAATATATATGCCATATATACTTCCAAATGGTATGTCAGAAACTGGGGACCACTCGAAGTAAAATAAGTTTTCGATTTAAGCAATTTTGAATGAAAGAACCGTTTATTGAATTGCAGCCTGTCATGAGTAGCCCGTCTCATGTCAAACCCGCCCATAAATGACTCTTAAAAGGGAATCTTCCCTCAACATGCTTTGCCATGTCGCTCCAGCAGCAAAAAGATCTTTGTCCAAATCATTGGGGAGACATGCTTCTTGATGTGCAATGGTTTAATGTTATGGCCACTCTTTGAAGGGAGACAGCGTGTTTCTTTGCCGTCTCCTTGTGATCCCAGGGCATGTTTTTTGCGCACACGACGGCCGGCTTTATCCCCCCTATTGGTCGGTGTGTGAAGTGGCGACCGGAATCCAATTGTATAGATGCATATCCACTTTATACGGAGATGTACATGGGGGATTGAAATAAAGAGCTCCATCAGTGGCTCCAAATCACTTTCGAAGTTGGAGACATTGACCTGAAGAAATAAGAACATGCTATACTCGTTCGGACCTGAACACACCGAAACTCCAAACAACAGGTGACTGGTGAACATTACTGCTTCAATGTCACCGATATTCATGATGTTCATAGTCTCATAGTGGGGCAATTGTCAGCTCTTGAAACTGTTGATGATGCAAGAAGACGCAGGATCGCAAATTATATAATATAGCCTGTGGTACCTTAAGCATAGCTGTATGTACATAAATCATCTATAAATGGTCCATTTTCCGTAGCTATTACTAGAAGCTATCTTTCCGAAACGAAAGGTACCATCTGGTTATTTAACATAGCCATGGAAAATCCCTTATACATGGAGTTTTAATGGGAAAATCATCTATAAATGGGCAATTTTCCATAGCTATGTTGAATAACCAGAGGGTACCTACAGAAAGCTGCGTTGAAAAACAGCACATTTTCTGTCAGAACGTCGTGGATGGACGGGACTCAACGACCAGAAGGAAAAAACAAAACGGGATGAAACCTCGATACACACCGGTGGCCTAAGATATACCTATACCTATACCCTCTGACCCTCTGGTGATCAAACACTTAAAAATAAATTCTTTGCTGGTGAACGTAGATATTCCCATTAATACCAAAAGACTAGTTAGGATTAGTAGGTACCCATGTAAGATTGACCTAGTAAACCCCAATCATCTATAAACCAACCTATGGATACCTATGGTAGTTTCCCAGAAACCCCGCCTTCTCAGCCTCTTCGATCCGCTCCTTGGGGATACCTGGCGAGTTTACTCGGAGACATGGAAATAGAAACATCATCATATCATATGGTCAATGGTAATTTCAAGATCCTAAAATGGAGGTACTGTACCATATAAGGCTATATTGTGTGGGGATATTCCCTTACATAGGCCTTATATATGGTAGGTACCTCCAATTTAGGTTCCTGAAATGACCATTGATATGGCTATGGATCAATACCAATCTTAATCTGGTTGGTGGTATACCTACCCCTCTGAAAAATATGAAAGTCAACTGGGAAGGATTATCCCATATATTATGGAAAAATAAAAATGTTCCAAACCACCAACCAGTAATGATTTTCACAGCATTATTCGGTGGATGACATTTGATGAATGTCCATAAATCGACCATTTACGAGCTATTTTGATGTGAACTACAGGTGGGTTTCGATCCATTCCCATATCGAATCTATACATGGGGGACTTTAGTTGTGGAGCTGATAACACGGTGATGTATCTACTGAAACATACTACTGGTAAACATACTCTTTAACATATTGAAAAAATGGTTTCTATAGATCAATTGGATCTCTGACGAGATTTAAACAATTTTAAACATATCTTATCATAAAATGGAAATATCTTGAAGTAGCCTTTGCAGATTGAAGATGTCCAGAAACAACGGACTGAAGATTATCACTTCTTTGGGGACCCCTTTATTTTGCCAAACTGGTCGTCGTGTTTATTCAATTTTTGATGGTTAAATCATCAACAATTCATTGATATTCAAATGTGCATATTTACACATATATATATATAATATCGTTTACATATATATATATATGCATGTATATATATATATATATATGCATGTAAATAAATATAAATATATATATATATATATGTATACGAACGAAATTGCCATCTGGCTGTTTCTTGGCCGCCCCGGCAGGGTGTCAAGACCCGTTGTGAAAGCTCCTCCGCTTCCGTGAGCACGCCCTGGCGTAGCGCGGTGCCGGTGCAGCAGCAAGGCATCCAGGTGGTTTCTCGAAGTTGGGGTATAACCATGAACAATAGATATGTTGATAGAATTTGATAGATAGTTGCATAAAAATATGGATAGAACTATTTAGTCTTTTTGGACACATAATAATGTATAATAAAGAATTGATAGTTATGCATAACAATAATTGTATTAATAGAAAAAATCATGGATGTCATGTGTTATTGATCATATCATCGAAGTGAAGAGTAGTATTAATAACGTATTGATTTAATTAATCTAAGTGACACAATTTGGACAAAACCAATGGGAAAATCATAGGGTGTTATGTGCTCTTTTTTGATGGGATGGATTCCTATCATCATATAACTTCATATAACCATTTAATGGGGATTTAATGACCTAACTACCATTCTGAATGTATGTGCAATGGGAATTGAAGTAGTTTTAATGGGGATTAGTGCACCAGCGCATGACATTAACCATTTTCGATACATGTACATATGAAATGAATGGCTAACTTATGGAGATTCCCAGTCTCATGGAATATGATAGTTTACCCTCTGGATCCAGCATGATCCAGCACCGCGTAACCGGAAGTATGGCTGGATCATGCTGGGACTTGCTGTATGCTAACTTATCACCAATCAAACTACCACAGGAAACATTGCTTTGTTGATTGTCTACTATTCTGCCTTTTATCTAATGATTAATGCTACAATTGGTCATTAACCTGATTTAAACATGATTTTAACATGATTTAACTACGTTTTGCATATCATCCCATCCTGTTTTTCTTGCTGCTTTGACGCTCATCCCAGAAGCACCTTGATCTGTAGAATTTCACGGCTCTGGATGGCTCCTTCGATGCCTGGTTGGCCCACTTCCAGAACTGGGGGATATCCATGTTTTTTCGCCGTTTCACGTGAAAACACATAATATACATATATATATATATATATGTATGTATGTATGTACTACACACACACACACACACATATATATATATATATACATCTATGTATATAGGCTCGCCCCTGCTCCTGGAACGACATACGATGGGGTGGCGGGGTGGGGTGGGATGTTAATTAACGTTCATGTGAATTAACATGGGATGTTAACGTTCATGTGAATTAACGTTCATGTGAACTTGCAGAAGTAGTTGATGCTACGCACACGGGGGGTGGGGGGGGTGGGGTGGAGTTAACGTTCATGTGAACTTGCAGAAGCAGTTGATGCTGCACACGCGGGGTGGGGGGCGGGGTGGGGTGGGATGTTAACGTTCATGTGAACTTGCAGAAGTAGTTGATGCTACGCACACGCGGGGAGCTGCTGGAAGAGATGGGGGAAGATGTGATGTTATCTGATGCTGATGCTGATGATGAGGGTGATGATGATGATGATTATGATGATGATGATGATGATGATGATGATGTGATGATGATGATGATGATGATGACCCTAATGAAACTTGTCAATTCCGCGACTAAATTTCGTCACGGAATGGACAAGTTTTACCAACCTAATTCAGGTTTGCGCGGTTCCAAGAGCAGGGACGAGGCTATATATACTTAAACTATTTTGAACTGGGAAAAATATATTGGGAAATGATGATAAACCATGGGACCCAGGAAATCACAACTCAAAACATGACTCGGCTGCAGGGTTGTGATCGGTGAAAAACTAGAAATGAACGTGTTGTTTGGGGTCAAACAACTACAGCGAAGACACAAACAAATTGGAATAACATTAATAAAATAGAATTTATACATCTTCCGAACTGCTATAATATTAATATTATCCTAATTTATTAATGTTATTTCAATAAGTTATACAGCGTCATACAGCAGTTCAGCGTCAGTCCACCTACGCACAAATTTCTGACGCTGAACTGCCGCCCGTTGCTTTCCGATGTGACAGGTCTAAAATGGAATGATGAGCCCATCACCATAGAAATATCTGGTGGGCTTGAAGTGAAATAAGAAATTACTGGTTACATCAGTGAAGTGCACGATTATGTAACTTTGAATATATAACCATTAATATGTATGAATATAAGAAATCCCTGAAACATTATAAGGGTCTGTCTGAACGTATACCCTGAAATCGAAAACGGATCATCAAAATCTTACCTATTAAAGGAGGTATTCGGGGGCGAGCCACATTTTAAGACACATCTGTACAACAACTGGATATGAGATTCTTGTAGGCATCCCTGTAAGCATGTGATCATATGTATGTATGTACATATGTTATGCTCTTTCAAGAACATGACAGGATGGGGTCTTCCCGTATGATATCATATTGATCAAGTATTTTCTTCATCAAGATACTTTGCTAAGCTTAGATGGCTCAAAAGCGTACATTGATGGCTACTGGCTACACTCCAACATAAGGCTCAAGCCCCATCATCTGCCAATATCTGGCCATATCTGCCCAATTGGCAGAAAACCCAAGGCATACCCTCTGGTAATCAAATATAATATGGCAATGGAAAATCCACCATTTATAATTGAATAGTTGATCTTCCCATTAAAACCTCCATTGTTATTCATGTATCAATGGTACGTTCCACCTTGTAGCTATATCCATCTATCAACTATCCAGCTACAAGCTGCATTAGAAGCCTACTATATATAACTATAGTTATATCATGTTATATCCGATATCCCCATGCCACGTCTGATGACACCGGCGGCCGTTGCTGTGAAAAAACATCCTGGGACCCCAAACGTTCGCACAGGCCTTCCTGCATCTCAAGCTCCTGGACCTGCCGACCTCGCTGGGGATTGTCTGAGCTCAACCGAGTGTGTGTGTGTGTGGATAGTTGATAGAAAAAAACAGTGGCATTGGGATATCAGATATAACTATAGTTATATATAGTAGGCTTCTAATGTTTTTACCTAGAAAAAAAACAAATACTTTTGTAGTGACATGTTGACATGTTCATATCATGTGTTTCCCATCTGGCGATGTTATGACTCGGGCATGACATGGGATGATGATCCCTGAGATCAGCATTTTTTTCATGTCCACCAAGTCAGATTAAAGCTACTTACCATGGCTACTCTTAGATTGAATAAGTTTTTTAGACTTGCATATTCCTCCATCTATTACCAATCACTCATCAACCAACAATCTGGTTGAATCATGCGAATTGCTTTGATAAAGCCATTCGGGGATCATTTCTCGCACGAACCATCATTATCATCATTCCAAAAAAAACGGAAAAACAGTGAGGTCATGATCGAATTCATCCGGAACCAGCAAGATGAATCCAGTTGCAGTGCAGCTCCACTACATTCGTAGCTTCCACCCCAAATGACGGAATGCCCTGGGGAGCGCTACGTGCATCGTTCAGTTCTTCCTTGAGGCCTATGCCGAGTGCGTCCAAAAATCGCTGATCTTCACAGAAAGAATGGTAATTTAATGGACTATGCCTGGGGACATCCCAATGAATTCAATTTAGTTAATGGGATGTCCAATCAGCATCAATCAGCTAAATCCAATTTGAGTTTCAACATGGAGGACATCCCAGCAGTTTAGGGAAACATGGAGGGATGTTCCCCACTGTTCCCATAGGCATCCAGCCAGTCGGATTTCATGTAATGGGCATGCGCACAGATCCGGACGTTTGCCCGGAGCCTATGTTTTTTCTCGAGTTTTCAACAGACCCAAAAACAAAGTCGTGGAAGGGTTCTTGAAGTAAATTTCTGGTTCTTCCGGATCCTCGGATTCTCGCGGAAAGCGGTCCTGATGCACCACTTGCATTTTGGATAAGATAGAATATACTGTAACCATTAGAAGACCTTTATACATATTGTTTGGAGGAGATGGCAGATTTAGAACCTTCTGTCATGATGTAATATGATGGAAGAAAATAAATCCTAATATCTCAGATTTTGATTCAAGATAGGGTACATTGTGGGAAACATGCGTAAAAATCATGGAAGCAATGGTGAAAATGATGGAAACATGGAGGGAGCCCCTGTGGATTCTGCGGATATTAGTAGGGGGATGACCAACATCAAGTGGCCACATGGGTTGGGGGGTTCATAGAATTCATAGGATTTAAGGTGAGACTGCTAATATATATGTACATGGGTCACTGACGGTCAAAACCATTGGGTCAACACTTCATTCATTCAAACTCAACCCGGATTCTCTTGACATGACGGATAAGAAAAACACTGAACAATAGCCGGATATTGATGTGAACTACAGCGTACCAGGTGATCATCCATGACTTCACAAGCCTGACATGTTGCATTCTATTGTAGGATGCTTTCCCAGCACTTTCCCTTCTGGGGATGAACGTTGGATGGTTGGTGGTTTCAATCAAGCCATGTGTCATTAGGAAACATCAACACTTTCCGATATGAACAGCTGGATGGAATTACCAACCCAACTTGAAGGAGTCTCAAAAAATGCTGCCAAGATATATAATGGGGAACTTCCCATCTTGTTTGTCATCTATTGCACATGCTGACAAATGGACATATAGGTTGATGGACATCAGAAACATAAGAACTGGAGCCACAGTGACTTGGAGAAACGCTGAATTCAGTGATGGCGACACATCTATACACATCTTGGCTCAAACAATCGCAACGAGGCCAGTCCTGGTGCCCCAGAATAGGCTCTCCTCAAAAATGCACTTCAAAAAATAACTTTCCGGCAAATCAACTGGCCATCAACTGGGTGTAAATCCTCATAAATCCAACCCCATGACCTCCAGAGCAAACGTCCTGGACAGGGATTATGGGAAACCATGGTCACCATGCTGACTCCCAGCTATCCATGTCCAGCTATCCAGCTATCCATGATCCACTGAGGCGCAAACCGTTGATCTGTCCCAAGTTGATGGCAGCCTTGAGTTCTTGCAGATTTTGGCTGCCGTAAAGCTGCGCCAATCGCCTCGTACACCACAGGGGAGGGACTCGGCACTGCGACGGTCCAAATTGGGTAAACATTGGATGGTTCATACTAAGAACCCATGTTGGTTTACCCAATTAAGATCAATGAAGTATATTAATATGTTCATACTAAGAACCCTGTAAAACCACTAAAAATAGATTAAACATCTTAGTGCTTTGCCACGCACATAATTTGACCCGCACCGTGACGCCGCCCTTCTCCAAAAAACCTTCGAATCACTGGGATTTTTGAACAAAAAGAGTGAGTGACCAGTGACCGAAGCGATGGATTTCTCAAATGATCCACGCCTGGACCCGAAGATATAGAATCTATGGCTATGATAGTTACTATAAACATCTATAAACAATAGTTAGTTATAATAGTTATATCATCCCACTTAGAACCGGGATATAACTATGGATACCATCTGGTTATGACTAACAGTTCGCCATGGAACATCCCAACCATAAATGGAGGTTGATGTCGCTGGGAAAATCATCGAACTTTCGATTAGGGCCATGGCTTCCATGGCTATGTTAGTCATAACCAGAGGCTAAATGCGAGTGTCAGGGCTTGATTTGAGGGACATGATGTGGCCCAATGATGTCCTTTTGGTAAAAATAGGTTTGGGCCGGGAGCGTACGGTTAATCCCATCTATCATCATAGAAACCTGTTTTTTTAGGGGTAAACCTTCAAACCCCTCTTTTATCATCAGCCAACCAATGGGAAATTTGGGACATCTATGATAATGTGGCCTGGATGAAACCAAATGATGAGGATTCCTGCATGTCCCTTACTTAAGGCCCATCATACGTCGAAGCGTCGAACTGTAACTCTGCTAAATTTTCTTTGAAACCCTGAATTAATGGAACGATACTGCCATGCACCAGCTTTAGCTTGGAAAAAATGGAGCCTCATCTTGAGGTTTATCCCACATGTTCAGCCCATACCCGCCGAAAATCCTGGCTACGAGAGAAAAGCCTGCAGTCCATCAGTCGTCAGTCATCAGATTTTGTCAATAACTTTTAAGTTGATGTTGTAGGAATATATTCATCCCCCATGTATAGCCCGCTAGATGCTTTGCGGCCGACTTTATAGAGAATAGCCTGGTATAAACTGGAATGGCCACATGTCTGGAGTCTATAAAGTGGAAAGCCAACATGTTTTGTCTACAAAGTCAAAATCCAACGTTTGTATAAAGTCGCCTGGCCGCGTAAAAACATAAAACTCGATGCAGGTTTTTGAGGGTACTTGTGAACATGTCCCATGACTATAAAGTGAGATGCCGAACATCCAGATAGTAATACTTGTGCAGAACAGTGGCACTATAATGTGGATTTCCGGCTAAACAACGATCGTTGTAGTAGCGATGATTTTCTTAATCGCGACGATGGCAGCATCGACATGATTGTCTATAAAGTTGAGGGGCCACGTTCAAACCTTGGGGGAATATCATCGATCTCATCGATGGGGAACCCAAAAGACTTCGAATGACTTCGAAACCGAACGAAACCGACAGCCAGACAAATATCTATATCGAACTCGTTAACAGAATCTATGGTAAAACCAAATCTATGTTGGACTGGCCACTTTATACCCTCCCCCAACAGAGAATGCCTCTAACACACTTTCCTTTGAAAGGGGTCCTTGGGGTGAAAGGGGTCCTGGTCGCGCCGCGCGCGCGCGCGCCAAAATGGCTCCAATTTTGACACCTTTTTGGCCCGCGCGCGCGCGCGCGGCGCGCCCAGGACCCCATTCACCCTGAGGAATTTTTCAAGGGAAATCTTCTTCTCTATAAAGTGGCCAGTCCAGGTAAAACCCCTGAAAAAACAGAATCTATGTTGGACTGGCCACTTTATACCCCCTCCCCCAACAGAGAATGCCTCTATAAAGTGGCCAGTCCAGGTAAAACCCCTGAAAAAACAGAATCTATGTTGGACTGGCCACTTTATACCCCCTCCACCAACAGAGAATGCCTCTATAAAGTGGCCAGTCCAAGTAAAACCCCTGAAAAAACAGAATCTATGTTGGACTGGCCACTTTATACCCCCTCCCCCAACAGAGAATGCCTCTATAAAGTGCCAGTCCAGGTAAAACCCCTGAAAAAACAGAATCTATGTTGGACTGGCCACTTTATACCCCCTCCCCCAACAGAGAATGCCTCTATAAAGTGGCCAGTCCAAGTAAAACCCTGAAAAAACAGAATCTATGTTGGACTGGCCACTTTATACCCCCTCCCCCAACAGAGAATGCCTCTATAAAGTGGCCAGTCCATGTAAAACCCCTGAAAAAACAGAATCTATGTTGGACTGGCCACTTTATACCCCCTCCCCCAACAGAGAATGCCTCTATAAAGTGCCCAGTCCAGGTAAAACCCCTGAAAAGACACATTTTTACCTGGAATGGCCACTTTATACCCCAGCCAGTGGGCTCCAGGACTTTGACCCGGAAACGGAAGGACTGACAACAAGGTAAAGGGGGAAAACTACAACGGAGAGGTACAACGGGAAGGCTACCACAAGAAAATGAGACATGTCACGTTTATATACGTTTATTGTTTTCAATGTGTCATATAGATTGGCGATGATTGGTATATTGAATATGTTGTAGATGTATTTTGGAACATGTGTATACCTATGATTCACACATCAATATAAATATATATATATATATAAATCATAAACACATGCCAAACCAAAAACTTTTAGCTGAGTATTGTATTCCCAATCTGTTGGCAAATGTCCAGCCGATTCACCATGCGTGACCCAACAAGATTCAAACTATGGATTGTTTAATTTCGAAAAAAAATACTGGTTCTTGCAAACAATTTTATAGAGGATGGGCATGGACCGGCCAGTTTATACAGAGGGTGGGGCTGCCAGAAATGACGTGATCAAACCACTTTATAGAGCTGAACTTTCTTGCAAACCATTTTATAGAGGATGGGCATGTGGCCGTGGTTTTGGTCCATAGATGTCCATAGATTTTTAGGATGATTTTGGGAGATTGTCGTCATAGATATACGTAGATTCACCCAGTATTTTTTTTTCAAAAGTAAACAATCCATAGTTTGAATCTTGTTGGGTCACGCATGGTGAATCGGCTGGACATTTGCCAACAGATTGGGAATACAATACTCAGCTAAAAGTTTTTGGCTTGGCATGTGTTTATGATTTATATATATATTTAAATTGATGTGTGAATCATAGGTATACATATGTTCCAAATACATCTACAACATATTCAATATACCAATCATCGCCAATCTATATGACACATTGAAAACAATAAACGTATATAAACGTGACATGTCTTATTTTCTTGTGGTAGCCTTCCCGTTGTACCTCTCCGTTGTAGTTTTCCTCCTTTACCTTGTTGTCAGCCCTTCCGTTTCCGGGTCAAAGTCCTGGAGCCCACTGGCTGGGGTATAAAGTGGCCATTCCAGGTAAAAATGTGTTTTTTCAGGGGTTTTACCTGGACTGGCCACTTTATAGAGGCATTCTCTGTTGGGGGAGGGGGTATAAAGTGGCCAGTCCAACATAGATTCTGTTTTTTCAGGTGTTTTACCTGGACTGGCCACTTTATAGAGGCATTCTCTGTTGGGGGAGGGGGTATAAAATGGCCATTCCAGGTAAAAATGTGTTTTTTCAGAGTTTTACCTGGACTGGCCACTTTATAGAGGCATTCTCTGTTGGGGGAGGGGGTATAAAGTGGCCAGTCCAACATAGATTCTGTTTTTTCAGGGGTTTTACCTGGACTGGCCACTTTATAGAGGCATTCTCTGTTTGGGGAGGGGGTATAAAGTGGCCAGTCCAACATAGATTCTGTTTTTTCAGGGGTTTTACCTGGACTGGCCACTTTATAGAGGCATTCTCTGTTTGGGGAGGGGGTATAAAGTGGCCAGTCCAACATAGATTCTGTTTTTTCAGGGGTTTTACCTGGACTGGCCACTTTATAGAGAAGAAGATTTCCCTTGAAAGGGGTCCTCAGGGTGAATGGGGTCCTCAGGGTGAATGGGGTCCTGGGCAGCTCTATAAAGTGATTTGGGTGATGTATCTCATGACTCTATAAAATGCTCTGCCGCAATTTTCTTTCTATAAAGTGCCCTGGATGCAGCACAAATTCTTCTTCTTAAAGGGCAAGTTTCACTCTATAAAGTGCTTTGCCATGTATACAGCCCCAACAGAAAGATATTGGCCCGAAATCATTGGGGAGACATGTTTCTATAAAGTGGATGGTGTGACATATTATGGCCATTCTTTGAAGGGAAGGTCTATAAAATGCATTGCCGCATATATTGAGTCGTTTCCTTGTGGGGAACCAGCCGGGTATAAACTGGAAAGCCAACGTTGCTATAAAGTCATCTTCCAGGTCCAAGAGCATGTTACTCGCGCAAAACACGGCTTTATCCCCCATTGTCGGTATATAAAGTGGCGACCGGAAACCCACTTTATAAGCGCAAAGGATGTCCACTTTATAGTGAGCTATACATGGGGGGTGTATATATATATGTATATAAATAATGATATAAAAAAATATATATACATATATATATTATATATGATATATATATATATATACATGATTAAATATAAATATACAAGCTATATATATATATGATTATATATATCTTTCTTTCCAGGTGCTGCAGAGTCTTCTGCTTGGTCTCATGCATTCTCTGGCCAGAACTGTGCTAGTCCAAGTAGCAGTCCGGCTGTACAACTGACTTGGACACAAAATCCATCTGGCCGAGATCGCTCAAGTCCTCGTCCATGGCCTGTGATGGCGGGACCGTGGTGAAAAATGTCTGTTGTACAAATCGTACAACAGCTTCCGCAATGGCCGAATTCATGGCTACAGGGTAGATCTTCGCTACTGCTGTACGAAAGTGACCCTCGGAGTCTCGCCCTTTCAGGGCCACATGAAATCCCTTCGGATGAGGGCATCTACCGCCATGGCCCAAACGCTGGATGGAGGCACGCAACCAGGGAAGTCTCACCAGCATCAAAGTAGTCGGCTTCAATCCAGGGCAGTGAAATATGCACTGGTCAAAGGTGACAAACGAAGTGCAATGGAGCTTCTTCATCCATCTCATTGCGGGAGATGCCCACGTGCTAGCCGGGCGTTGGTCGCACGCCCAAACAGGAAAGGCCGGGTGTTCCAAGAAGGAACAACCTCCAGTGACTGCACACCAAAAGGTCATCTCAATCAAAAATTGCATCAAAATTGTGCCAAGCTGTGTCTGTCTCCACTGCCTCGCACTGTTGGATGGTAGGCCATTTGGTTCATCAAAACTGCGCACTGGAGGAGGGCCGCCGGCGAGCAGACGAGCCGCTGTGTACGTCTCACACGGCGGCCCCCCTCCCACTCCACAGATGGCGCCATTCTTGATCTTGTCTGTCCAAAAGGTACGGCTGCGCCCAGTAGCCAAATCACCGGTGGCACCTTGCAGACAAAAATCGACGCTAACGCAGAAAATGTGAAAATGGCCTTGGATAATATGATTGTCGATGTGATGTTGGAGGTCGCCATCTGTGACCTTTTAAGATACTTGAAGTATCCTTCCCGGGAGGCTTCTCAAATCTAGGGAATCCTATCGGTCCTATCCCGATCCAAAAAAATCGACCATTCTGAATTCAGATCCCATCCTCCTCAACTGCGCTTTAAGTTCCTCCTCCTTGACGATTTCTGAGGCCTAACGCTCGGATCCGCTCGGATCCGCTCGGATTGCGATGGGAGATCGCCAAAAACACTGACTGGACACCATCGCCATCTAAGAATTCGACCCAAGAGATCAAGGACATTCAGAATCCCAAGTATACTGGTTGGTGGTATACCTACCCCTCTGAAAAATGATGGAGTTCGTCAGTTGGGGTGATGAAATTCCCAATATATGGAAACATAAACAATGTTCCAAACCACCAACCAGTATATTTCAACCCAGTCTTGAGATATTCTTGGGGCTAATCTTCAAGGTGTAATAAGGGATGGCATTATCTCAATGACATTCGTGAATTATCCAAGACTGGTTGCTGGTTTTGAACCATCCCAAACATATGTCTGTCATCTCAAACATTTCAAGCAGGGTTTTAGAAACAATCAGCAACAATGACTGGTTGGTGGTTTTAACCATCCTGAAAAATATGAGTTCGTCAATGGGAAGGATGACATCCCATATGTGAAATGGAAAATAATCCATTCATGTTTGAAACCACCAACCAGATGAGTTGTGCACAGCAAGAGATAGCAAGGACAATGGCCATCAGCCTCGGCAATGGCCATCACAGACAAGCCCACCGCCTGCAAGGCCATGGGGAATTTCCAAGGGAAGGGTGTTGGTTGTGTTTTTTTTGCTCAAAGATTTCCAAGGTACAACATGCACATAATTAGTGGAGTACCTATTTATTTCCACAGTTGAAGGGAAACAAAGCAACTAGATGAACACACTTCGGTTCAACACGAATGGTATGATTCACCAAAGCAGCGAATAAAACCATGAAAAGATGATCTCAGCTTCCCTGTCTTGTTTCAAGTGTTTTGTTCGTAACGTAGCCATGTATGGTCCCCAGAGAAACCCTGTGGTAATCAAACATGGCAATTTACCATTTAAATGTGGTAAATGGGGTAAATTGCCATTAATGTACCATGTACCATCAATGTATCCTTCAGTTTGAGTTAATTTTCCCCATTTACATGCCCACATTAATGGGAGTTCCCAACCAGCCATGATGATAAAATTGGTTTCCTATTCATCTAAGTAGATCTTTAAATGATATCATCACCACAAACCCGAGCGAACCTGGGCAAAGGGAAAAACACATATATCAACATCTATCAACTATATACCCTCTGGTAATTTAACATAACTATGGCAAATCACCATTTTTTAATGGGAAAATCCACTATAAATGGCCATTTTCCATAGCTATGTTAGTTTACCAGAGGGTATATATGTTATGCTTTGTTGGTTGAATCATTACTCTTCGCGGGCGATTTAGTTAAACCATCATTTATCATCCGGCAATCAAACAAGACAATGGGATATCCCCTGAACATGGCCATACCAATCCATGGATGAACATGAATCAATGATAAATCGGTGTCCATTGCCATGTTTGACTTCTGAGTAGTGTATATAGTTTTAGATTTAATAAGTACAGGAAACACACCCAACAATGTCATGGGAATATCCATGGTATGCCCGGTTAAAATTTTCCCTTAAACCAATCCATGGATAATTATTATTGATCATTCAATTTGATCATTTAATTTGTTGATGGACTGGTTTAAGAATAATCATCAAAACAATGAACTATCATGAACTATCAAAGCAATAAACCATAATAAACCAATGTAATTCGTAGCTTTTGGCTTTCCAAGTCATTTGATGATCCATTCTTTTGGCTTCCCAAAATGCGCGCCTTCCCTTGCTCGATGGCTGCCAGGATGCTGGGAATGTCGCGGGTCAAGACCTCGAAATGGCAGACCAGTGAAATCTATCACGTGCGTAAGCGCCACGTAAGCGTGCGCCAGTAAAAGCATAGGCAAAACATAGAGATTTTGAGGAACATGGAGAGGAACATGGAGATTCATGAAATGTTAGCTAAGTTGGGTTTTAGAACTCAAATTCAACTAGTTGGAGCAGGATGGGTTTATATAGGGATGCTGCGATGTTATTAACCTACCCCTTATGCGGATTATCATCAAGAAACTGGGGGGGAAAAACACCCACCACAATTCTGGGGTCCCAGGGGTGACCCTCAGCCTTGGATGGTCCCAAAGCCTGGCACTACCCGAGGTAGCCGTGCAAAAAAGTGGGACGGCCGCAAAGGTCTATGAAATTGGGGGCCCTTAGTTCCAAAATAGTGATGAATTTCTACCTGAAAAACTGGTAACCCAGCTGTGCTGTTCATAAAAATAGTGGTTTATCATAAACTAGTGGTTATTCTAGTGGTTATTCTCCTGGGTTACAGTCTGTTACAAATGGGTTGTAGTGTCCATCATTGTATGAACCCTGCTTAAGCCTTGAAGCTTCGCATTCAGCGAATCGCATCCAAAGGATCCAAAGAATCAGCCGGACCTGAGGTGCCCACTGCCTCTTTTAACTTCGCACGAGCCTGGGATAGTCAACAAAAACACGCACTTCGCGCCGACGTTTTGGAGCTGCAGGATGGGGTTGAGATGTGACTTCTCAACATTTTGGACATATTTGTTTTTTTGAATTCAGCTCTTGTAGGCATTACTCTGAATCCTTGATGCCAGAACCCAATGGCAAGGTTGAGTTTAGGATGTGGAAGAATCCCGGTGCTGCCCACAGAAGTTCAAAAAAAAACGTGAAAACATACCCTCTGGTAAACGTTTACATAACTATGGAAAATCACCATTTTGTAGCTGGGAAAATCTATATACTATTTCTATGGGCCATGTTGAATAGCTATGGTAGTTTACCAGAGTGTAATGGCAGTATCAAAAGCAAGCTCCATCCGAATCCACCACATCTTGAGATCAATGTTGGGGACCGTCGAGAGATCATCATCATAGGGTTTGAATATTACGTAAAGCAACCTCCAAAAAGATTGAAAACGTAGAAACACCTTAAAATAGCTGTGACTTGCAAACAATTTTTATCCTTTTGCAAAAAACATGTTACACGTAGATCTGGTTGGTGGTTGACCTATCCCTCTGAAAAATGATGGAGTTCGTCAGTTGGGATGATGAAATTCCCAATATATGGAAACATAAAAAATGGTCCAAACCACCAACCAGTTAGGGTTTCCAAACCACCAACCAGTTAGGGTTTCCAAAAACAAAAAAATGGTCCAAAACCACCAACCAGTAATTCTGCGGATTATCCAAGTTGGTAGTTCCGGTGTCGTCAAGGCACTGTTGGTTTGTAGGCATTCTCCAGCTGCGTTTGCGCCGGAATCAACCTCGAGAGGGTGCCCAAACGTGAACCAGCGACCATCGATCCTTGTCTGGTTGGTTCTCAGCTCCCTTGCTACAGGTTTTTGCCTTGTAGTGGCTATGTATAAATGACCATTATCCCAAACAAACTACAATATATATATATATATATACATACAAAATCTCAGAGCCTGGCTCATGTTGTATGAAAGGTTCATCAAACCGCATGGAAAGATAGTTGGACAAAATCGTGAGGGCCTCCAAGAGGCACATGACCCGGAGACCTTGGTCATTCTGAAGATGTTGGGTACATTACCCAACTTGAACTCATACCTTACATGGTAAAGTTTGTATCATTCCAAACAAACAAAATGAAAATTGATAATAATCAAACGGTAATTGATAATAGTAAACATAATAAGGTTAATGAATTAATGAACATGATAATATCACTACAAAAAATAAATATGAACCAAACGAGTTTACTGAGCGACAAAAACGCTCGCGCCGCTTCTCCAAGGCACTCTTCGGCATCGATGCCTGGCTTGAAGCTTTGCAAACAGCAAGGTGACCGCCCGTGATGCTATCGCTGCTATGATCGCTGCTCAATAAGCCCCTACTGGTTGGTGGTGCAATAACCATCTTGAACAATATGAGTCAATGGGAAGGATTATCTCATATATTATGGACAATAACTAGACGACGGATGGCCCGAGAGCGTAGAGGAGCAGGGTCTTCAACTTCCCTTGTTGGTATGGAGACACCATATTAGAAACAATATGTTAAAGATGTGTTATATGCAGTCGAGAAGAGGAGTATTAAGACAAAATAGCAGAAGTGCAAGACAATAGTTTGCATCGCAAGCACTTTTACACACAAAAGCTTTTACACACAGACGCTTTTACATACAGACCCTTTTACGCACAGACCCTTTTACACACAAAGCTTTTACCCACAGAAGCTTTTACATACAGAAGCTTTTACACACATACGCTTTCACACAGATGCTTTTACACACAGACACTTTTATACAGACACTTTTACACAAAGTTTTTACCCACAGAAGCTTTTACACACATACGCTTTTACACAGATGCTTTTACACACAGACACTTTTACACACAAAAGCTTTTACACACAAACCCTTTTACACAGATTCACTTTCACACACAAACACTTTTACACACAAACATCTTTACACAGAAACACTCTTACACACAAACCCGTTTACACACAAAGACTTTTACACACAGAAGCTTTTACACACAGACACTTTTACACAGATGCCCCGGGACAAGTAAAATCGCAATTTTTCTTCAGTTTTTGACGATCAACACTCATTTCGTGCGAAAGGGTTTGCTCCGGGACAAGTAAAATAGCAATTTTACCTCAGTTTTTGACGATCGACCCTCATTTCGTGCGAAAAGGATGCTCCGGGACAAGTAAACTCGCAATTTTACCTCAGTTTTTGACGATCGACACTCATTTCGCGAAAGGGTTGCTCCGGGACAAGTAAAATCGCAATTTTACCTCAGTTTTTGCCGATCGACCCTCATTTCGTGCGAAAGGGTTGCTCCGGCACAAGTAAAATCGCAGTTTTACCTCAGTTTTTGCCGATCGACCCTCATTTCGTGCGAAACGGTTGCTCAGTTTTTGCCGATCGACCCTCATTTCGTGCGAAAGGGTTGCTCGGGGGCAAGTAAAATCGCAATTTTAACCTCAGTTTTTGCCGACCGCGACCCTCATTTCGTGCGAAAGGGTTCACGTTTCGTGACTCCCCGCCGGCACCACCCTCGGCCTAAAGAGAGAAAGATAAAGAAGGCGAGAGAGAGAGAGAGAGAAAAGGGAGAGAGAAAGGAGAGAAAGAAAGCAGAGACGAAAGAGGAGAGAGAGAGAGAGAGAGAGAGAAGATGTGAGTATGTGAAGGTGTGAGTGCGAGAGAGAGAGAGAGAGAGAAAGAGAAGGTGTGAGTATGTGAAGATAGAGATGTGAAGATGAGCAGATGTGAAGATGAGAAGATGTGAAGATAAGAAGATGTGAAGATGAGAAGGTGTGAAGATGAGAAGGTGTGAAGATGAGAAGATGAGATACAGACCCCCACTATTGGAAGAACCCTGCGCTCAGACGCTCTCGGGAAAAAATGTTTGAAACCACCAACCAGCCTATTCATCTATTAGGAGTCATTGGGTCTTAAAGGTGCTTAACAAGCCCTTGATCATTTCCATGTCGTGAATTCCCCCGGAGATTCCGAATGCTAGATTGGAATGCGTCTATTTCTCCGAGTGATCCACACCAAGTGAAATTCTATCCAATACATACAGATATTCATATACGCATATTTAAATTCCATCTGACACATATGTATTTATGTTTATATACATATTTTTCAATACATACTCTGACATTCGACCTGACTCTTTGTCTGGCATTCTATCCGATATATACATATATATACATATACATATATAATATATATATACATATATATGTACATATAGATATATATATATATATACAGTATATATATATATATACAATATATATATATACAATATATATATACACATATGACATATGTTCTGACATCTGATCTGAGTTTCTCTTGGCATATATTCGGACGTGTTATCTCACTTTCCATCTGACAATGCAGTTTGACATATTATTTCAGCATTTTATATGGCTATCTGACATTCTAATTGACGTACATTCTGACACATGTTCTGACATTTTATCTGGCATTCTGTCTGACATATGTTCTGACACATGTACTGACATTTTGTACCCGACACATTCTGACATTGTATATATATATATAATGTATTCTATTTAAAATGTTTGTCTGACACCCTACCTGGCATTTTATTTGGCATAATTCGTGGCCGGCAAAGGGGAAATGCCGCGTTTAAATCGCAAGAGACCCTCACCTGGTGGGGAAAACACCTGTGGTGAAGATGCTGGAACCCGTGACACAGCCCAAACATGACAACTCGAGCACTGGGAACCAATGACCAATGTCAGGCGACATCTATCTATCTATCTATCTATCTATCTATGTAGGATGTGTTCTCCAGTTCTTCTGACTCTCTGCTGGTTCATTCTACAATCTTGACTTCATGTATTGCTGATCCACTTCCAAGCAAAACATAAGTTAAACGTCTGCTACCATCCACACAACTAGTGTCAATTGACAATGTTCAATAACTCACGAGATTACGCTCACAATGATGAACCCGTAAATAATAACGCAATGATCCAAATAGTTCATTCATGTATGAAATATTCGTGTTTTTCCAATGTAATCCAATATATTAGTAATAAGCACAATCTCCAATAACCCTACTTGCACCAATATCTTCATAGACGATTCATAGACACCCACTATCTGATGCAGAATATGTACCCAATTTTTCATAGTAGCCGCTAGAATAATCCTATTCATGTATGAAATAATGGGTTGATATTGGTTTCTTATCTCCAATAACCCAATATTATCTCCAGTACCCTACTGGCTACAATATTGGGTTATTGGAAATAATAATAATATATGGTATTGGAGATCATCATAGACAATTGCTATATATAGTGATAGGATTGGTATAATAACCCAATATTGCTTGATAGTGTCATATTGTACCCGCAATATGTTCCAATCCTTCACCAGCCTGCAGCCCTTGCATTCTCAATGGCTGGCCTTGCAGGCGTCAAGGGGAGTCTGTTAGATTTTTGGACAGCATTTTTTTCATGCGGAGACGTATCATCCCTTACGGGACTACAGGGAAATATAGGGAAATATAGGAAAAATCTATGCCTATTCATAGGGAAAATATAAGGAAATCTATGGGACAAGATATCTGGTTGGTGGTGCAATAACCATCTTGAACAATGTGGGAATGGTTATGGGCATTGTCTTATCACCTATTTGGGATTTTTTTAACTGGTTAACATACCACCTATTTATGGTAAATTGGGAATTGTTTATGGCATTGTCTTATCCACATTATACCTGGTTGGTGGTGCAATCACCATCTTGAACAATATGAGTCAATAGGAAGGATGATTTTCATATATTATGGAACATAAAACATGTTTGAAACCACCAACGAGATACAAGAACGCGCACTAAAATTGGTCATGATTGGTCATGATTGGTCACTTGCTTTGTAGCTGGGCAAATTCCGACAACTATCCTCTCAACTACCCTCTGGTAAACGTTTACATAGCTATTGAAAATCACCATAGAAATAGTGGATTTTCCCAAAAAACTATTGAACATCACCATAGAAATAGTGGATTTTCCCATAAAAAATGGTGGATCTTTCCATAGTTTTTTGTATGTTTACAACATTTCGGGTATCTCCGTCACACGAGACGTCAACAAGATCCCACATCTCCGTTGGGGAATCCATCCCCACATCGCTGCCAGAAAACTCGCTGCATACCATGGGCTTTCACCCATTACAACAAAAAGATGTTGAAACATATCTTGAAACATATCATGACGATCCAGACTTTGAAGACATTTGAAGATATTTGAAGCCAATTCACAAAGCTCCATTTCAGGTCGTCTTTAATACCATCCATTTCAGGAAAAGTGGTTTAAAAACAAAATCATACGCACCAGATAAGTAAACGTAAGTAACCAGTCAAATCTCAATATCTGATCGTGTATCAACACTTTTTGTTACAAACACCCACCATTCAGGGTATAAAACTAGCTGCTATAACCTACTGTTACATCATGTACGTGTGATGAATTCCATATATATATATAATGATTAACTGATCGTTCATCATGGTTCATGATGATTTATGTATGTTAATGGTCACTGGTGGATGCTTAAAACAACATCTAAAAACCACATAAAACCACATGTTCGATGGTCAAAATATCCACTGTTTTGATGGTTAGGCTCACCACATCTTCGGCATCAGCCGTGGCGCTTCAAAGCATCAATCGTGGCCAGCTGCATGGCTTCCGCCAAGTCGCTCCGCGCCAAGACCTGCAATCCGCTTTAGACATATTGGATGCATGGTTATTGTTATGTTGGCTAGTATTGTTATCAATTATTAGTATTGTTTTATTAGTATGGTTATTAGTCAGTGTTTGGTATGTTGTTATTTTGTTGGCTAATATTGTTATGTTGGCTATATGGTTATGATAGTCTAGGCATATGGGGGGTTCCTAAAATGGGGATACCTCAATAGCTGGATGGTCTATAATGGAAAATCCGAGAATAACATGGAGGATTTAGGGGAACCCCTATTTTAGGAAATCTCCATATATCGTTACCATTGTTACTAGTGTCCCTATCGTTCCTAGTGTCATTATTATTTTTTATTTTATTAGTGCTATTAGTATATTAGTGTTATTGTTATCGTTATGTTGGCTAGAATCTATCGATGCTTAGACATATTTGACCTTAGACAGAATCATACATTTGTTACTTTTTTGTTGGCTATGTTGCGGCTATATTATATATAGAGCTAATTCATAAGTCACGTCATGACCATCAAGACTGCAAAATGTGACAATATTCAACTGCCCAACCGAGGAGCAGAAGAAAACAAATGGTCACATCTGAGAAATCATTGAGCCATTCCGAGCATGATTCGGATGATTCCTTGCTTGTCGTAAGTTCGTTGTTTCAAGCTAGAGTCATCAAGACAACCCATGTTGATTATGGGGATATTATGGGGATATCATCGGGATATAATGGGGATATACTGGGGATTATTTCGTTATCAGATCTTCAACGGATTTGTTTAAGGAAAACTCTCCAGGACACCATGGATTTTTGCCATCGAATAATGGGGGTTTCCTGCGTATGTTCCCTTAAACCAATTCCATGAGATTTTACCATCCCAACTAACATAGACCCTGAGAATTGTCCATTTGAAGAAGACGGTAGTCTTCCGTTAAACCACCGTTCACTGTTGATGAAATATAAGGACCTGATAAGCCTTCTTTTGCTCATACAAACTATCCATAAGACCATATACTGGTTGGTGGTTTCAACCCCTCTGAAAAATATTAGTCAGTTGGGATGATGAAATTCCCAATATAGGGAAAAACATGTTCCAAACAACCAACCAGATATATGATGACTCACTCCTCGCCAAGTAAATTCTTCTGGTCTCGGGTCTCGAGGCTCTCGAGATTTTGTGCCAACTCGCTGTGCCCGGCGAAAGCGATCTCCAGAGGCCACGCCCAGAATATACCCGAAATGGTCAACGGGCGTTTACATAACGAACTGGAAAGATCCACCATGCTATCTAGCTGGGAAAATCCACTATTTCGACTGGGTCATGGCTTCAATAGCAAACTGTGAATGTTTACCAGAAATAGATTGCCATAGAAAGAATGTCAGAGTATATGTCAGAAAGAATGTCAGAATGTCAGGGTATGTATATATATATATATGATGCCTTTTATACTTCCAGATGATATGTCAGAAACTATTGACTATGGCAGAATGGTGTGTCAGGGTGGGGATCACTGGAAGTATTTTTTTCATAGAAACTGTACACTTTTTTATGGTTTCTCAAAGTGTCAATACATTGAAACATGGTGAATGCAATAAATCAAATATCATGCTACCGGATTGATTTAATGGTATTTTGATAATTTGATAGAAACTTTAATCCATTTATCGTTTATATGGGGATGATAATCTAATGGAAATAATGATATTTTACCGGATAATTAATCCATTTATCTACTGCTGGATGATCGTTGATCATTTTGGATGGGAACTTGACCTCCAATGGATCTACCGCTGTTCTCCCATCCCTGGATCTACCAACTCCACTAGGTATACCCTCTGGTTATGACTGTTACAGTTCGCCATGGTTAAGCCATGGTCCATAGAAATAGATGGTTTACCGAACTTAAAAATGGTGATGGCTTCCATGGCTATGTAACAAAAAACCAGATGGAATATTATTAGATTCATATTGTATAAGCCTATAACCTATATAAGAAACTTGATTCATAGACTTTAGAGTTCGATTTGTCGGACCATCATGATACAGCCCGGGCATCTGACAGCATTGCCTATGGACGAATGACGTGTGTCTGCCATGTCAGTGCGCCATCACTTCATCGCAATTCCCGTGAAGGCTCAACAGCACCTTAGAAATCCTTCAAATATGTGTACACACAAACAAACATCACACTCAAAAAACATCGAAATGGAGAGCATTCAGGCGTGTATGCCATGATTTTTTGTACCTTCTGCACTGTGGTTCACCCTAGATCCGCCTCCATCATCAGTTGCTCAAGGACTGCCACTGCAGAAGCCATTTCTTCCTCTGAGAGGCCTGAAAGTCTTTGCACTTGTGTTCAAAGGTGAACAAAAACTAAACAACCAGGTTAAAGAACATTTTTATGGGTAGTCATTGAAGAACTACCCACATAATACATAAACAACCATGAAATTCATAAAGCCAAAAATTCTGGGGTAGCCATTCATGTATTTCAACATTGTGGTTGATGGGTGACTGAAGTTGGTAACAATGTGTGCAAGAACAACATGTCAGGGGCAGAATCAAACCTGAATGCTAGGTTCAATTCTCATGTCTGTTTTGTGAGTTAAACGAATCATCAAGATTGTCTGGATGGTCAAGTCACATTTTGATGAGTTTACACCCCGCTTTTGATTGTTTGCACCCTGATCACTACAATCGCACCCTTTTTGCACATACTTCATTTTAGGACAGTATGGGAGTGTGGAATTTCGGCATGGGTCAAAACCTGTGCAATATCATATTGTGGGGGGGATAGTTTGATGCTCACCACTGTACCAGGGTTTTGACTCATACGAATTCCTTCCTAGAACATGTTTGGTCGTCAAAACCATGTTTTCTCTGCTAAAATCAGCAGTTTCTGGTTGCTGATATCACTTGTTTCCACAAGTTCTCCATCAATCTGCCTGTTGTCTCTCGCATCCCTGGAATCATAAGTGCCATGCAGAAGTTACATCCTGGCAAATGATTTTCTCTAAATCAGACAGTTTGACCGTTTGAAATAACCCTATCTTTGGGTGTCAAATGTATCATGATGTATTATGTATAACAAGCATCATTAAAGACAGGACACCAAGATTTACACTGGGGTAAACTAGTATATTTAGTTACTATATGTAGATCTGCAAAAAAGCAATGGCTCCCGTTCGGACCTCCACATCTTCTTTGTGTATGCTTACAGGAGGGTACAGATCCATTTATTGCCATGTTTCCCAGAAGAATCCCTAACCAAGTGGCCAAACTGCCCGTCATCATGTGGGCCAGGCACACCAATCAACAGGTGAACTTGTTGGACTTGTTGTTGCCGATATTAAACAATACATATACACATATATCAAATATAGAACGTCTGTGATATTTCATGACAATCTGATATAATTCAATGAAATCAATGTAGATGATTTATTATAAAATTACATAAAATAAAAAGACATATATAATATATTAGAACAATGGAATGTATATATTTACCAAATACCATATGCCTCATTAAAACATTTTCGCATACATACCCTCTGGCAATCAAACATACTCATGAAATATCAAATAATTATATTTCCATGTATATATATATAATAATTATGTGTATATATAAATATAATAATCCCATATGTGTCCCATATATTCCCCTCCCCCCCAAAAAAAATACACAAAACCTCCGGGCCGCCTGTGGCTTTGGCATCCTTCACAGCATCCCGTAGATCTTGAATCCGTTCCTGCGCCTGGACGAGGCGAAAGTCGTGCCGTTGAACGGAGGAAAACATCGCCATCAATGGATTGGTGTTGATGGGAAAATCTTAATCGTAAACCATGGGTTTTCCCATAAAACTATGGGGGTGTCCGGTAACATTTCCCTTAAACCAATCCATTGATACATGGTATAATCTATGTTCCGTTGTACATTCAACTTGTTGTTTATGTATTTGTATACGGATTTGCAAACATAAAACCCAAGACCATCAATGGCAATTGACACATGTTTACCCTTCAAATGCATGTGTTACCCATTACATTACGCGGGATATAAACCCAAGATGGGCAGTCTTGATCATAGAAGAAAGTAGCAATGGTCACATAAACATGGATGGATATTATGCATTTTCCATCCAATGGCCATTTATCTGACCAACTAAGACTTCCATAGACGGGTACACCGATCAAACATGGAGTATCAAAAATCTCATACAAGGATGGTCATTGACAAAATGAAACCATCCTTTTTTGGTGGCTCATAGTTTTGACTCATTCCCAAGTAGGTTTCGTTTAAACATACGCAAAAACACCTTAAATGGTATTTGATCACTCTCCCCATTGTTTTGGTGGCCATAATAATTCACCAACGAGAAATAACCCCTTGTCCCTTGTGATTAGTCTAAATCCTGGTAAACTGGTGAACGCCAAATTAGCTGGTAGATGTTCATTCCCTACAATGTGAGGCCCCCAGGATATAAGTTGGTTTATAAGCCCCAGTAACTATAGTTATAAACCAACTTAGATATCTTGGGGGCCTCACATTGTATGGTATAGTAGGTTTTGATCCACATCCATTTTCTGGATGTTTCCTAACATTCACCACGGCCTAGACATAGGCCCCTTTTGGCACTTCGTAATCCTTACTTTCCGTGTTGACATAGCCATAATTTGGGGGTATACCAATGCCATGAGACACGCCTATCAACAAAATCATGGATGTTTATTGTTAATTCACCATGCTCCACCATTTTGATGATTCAAGGTTTATCTGAAAATAGGGCACCCCCAATTTCAATAAGTTATCATCATGTTCCCCATGAAATTAAAAAAAAAGTTCATGGGTTAATTCCAGGTGGGTCAATCCCATCCCCCCAAAATAAGAACACACCTCCGCAACAAAAAGAAACATGGTTTGGGTTAGTAGGAGTTTTACACATGTTTGTTTGGTTTACTCCTATAAATGGTCCCGAATAGATGTGTAAAATTCTGTAAAAAAAATAAATCTGGGTAAATTATAATATTTCACTAACCTGAATAGTTCGGCCATAAAGGGATGATTTCACTAACCGTTATTCCAGGCTTCGGGAGAGCAGGCTTCGGTCGCGATTAAATTTACCCAAATAAATGGTCCTATACCCTCTGGTAAACATACAAAAAGGTATTGGAAATGGCCATAGAAACGGTGAGTTTTCCCATTAAACATGGTGATTTTCCATAGTTATGTGGGGTGTAAACGTTTACCAGAGGTATAGGATCATGTTTAAACATCCCTCCATTTAGCTCGGTCACTCAGCCCGGCTTGGTCCCTGAGGCTCAGACAGAAGCCTGGCGTAAAAACGGCTCAGAGCGTTGCAACTGCTGCAACGGCCAAACTTGGGTTAATATAGGTATATCCCTATGGGCATATATATATATTGTTATTTAAAAGGTTTTTGATGATTATATATAAATATATATTGTATATAATATAATGATGATTATATTTCAAATATATATATATATACCTGGATATTCATTGGTTACAAATTTCTTTCCAGGGCAGATTTTGGTTTAATTTCTGACCATTTTTTGGAGATTTACCCATTTCAAAATAAAACTGACCATTTCAAGAAAAAACCTGCCACTTCATGTTTTCATTTTTGAGTCATGATGAATCTGCCCGGGTATTTCCGCCCTTTTCCCGGGTATTTCCGCCTTTTTCCCGGGAATTTCCGCCCAAAAAAATCGACACATTTTTACGCAAAGTAGAGTAAGATCAGCCCAAAAGGCACGAAATCCAAAATTAACCACAATAATCAAAAAGTGACCATTTCCAGCTCCTTCACAAGAAATCCGCCCTAAGGGCAGAAATCTTGGAAACGGACACTTATTTGTATCCTTTCGAAGATCCAGGTATAATGATATTATATTATATACACATGAATTTTGGTAACTGATGATGAATCCTTGTTGATTCCTCCAGTGTCAGTTTCTGCATCGCGTCCATCGTCGGTGCGCCGCGCGGCCTTCTTGCCGAGCCGCGCGTCCTTCAGGACGATGCGTGCAGCGGCCTACTGGAAGCCGCGGCCGCGGTGGGAGATGTCGGATGGTACTTCTGGGTAACAT